CCAAGGAGACTTAGACAATTCATATCAAAAGCATTCTTCTCCACTGGACTTAGTCACACGTGAAGTACTACTTAGTAGCCACTAAGGAATAATTATGTAAGTTAACATCAAATTAGCCAGTTTATCTAGTTATGCTGCCTAAACAGAAAATATTATTTCTTACCAGTTTCCTGCCCTTTTACTCCAAGTAGTTGTTGCAAAAAAGAAAGTGCTGTTATTTTTCAGAAGAGTTTCCTTCTCTAACAAGCCCTTTTCTCCCCTTGAACTTGAGTCAGAGGAGCTAAACAGCAGCAGCTGTTCTGAGGGTTTTTATACCCGGTGGGATTGGCCCCCTCCCTTTTCCTGGGTGCCATGGGAACGAGAGGCGGGCACCATCAGGGGTATATTAACCCCAGCCTTTGCTCAGGGCCTTCATTCCCTCTCTGGGATGTGCTGGGATAAGAGCTCTCCTCTCATTTGAGTGAAGAAGCTTTTTCAGCTTATCTCAGCTTGTTTTCAGCAGGTGTTTCTGGGCAGCTAAGGCAACAGAGGCTTTGAAGATACTGTGAAGAAAACAGCATGTAATACAGGGAGTATTTAAGTTCACAGTTTTGGGTTTTGTGTTTAGGAGTGGTAAAATGCATTGGTAATTTCCAGTTTTGTTCTTATTTTATTTTGGTTTTTTTTTTTTTTTTTAGGAGGAGTGCAGCTTCCAGAGACTCCAGGTTGTATCAACGACAACACTTTTTTCAGCAGATTCATTGTGTCACAAGAGGGATCTGCCCAGGGTCCAAGGTGATGTTTGAGATTGAGGCTTCAGGTGAGTTGAGGGTTGTGACTGGGAGAGGGAGGGTGAGCAGGTATCCAGTTAGGAGTTATTGTTGGGGGTGTGGTTTTGAAGGCAGCAGGGTGAGAAAGGGTGTTTATTTGAGCCCCCCACCCAAGGCCTTTTAGAAGCCGAGCAGAGGCATTCACACGTCTTACAGCACACAAGGTCACCCACTGCACTCACAGGAATGCCATTTCACTTTGCCTTTCTCTAACCCAGGTGGCACTCATAATAATGGCCACAGCCTTGGAATCAGGATGAAGCTGGAGCCTGAAGGAGCCAGGCACACTCAGGAGAGGGCAAGTAGCTGACTCGCTGGGATTTGGCCCACATAACTCTGTACTCATACTTTGGTTTTGTTTTTCTTTATTGTAGCTGACCGAGAGGCTAACAGGTAATCACGGGGCCCTCTGAGGCAGACTCATTTCAGGCGCAACGTGGATCCACATCACCGATCATCCAAAAGATAAGTCAGGGCCACGGCCTGGAGTTGGGACAATGGGAGAGGAGCGGGTTGGGAGTTCCTGGGACAGATTTAAAAATTAGCAGAGGGAAAAGCAATCTCCTCCAAGGGGCCTCTTAGGACAGCTAAAGGGAGAGGCTCTACTTGTGACGGCAGCTTTCAGGCGGGCAGCGCAGAACAGTTCCGGTCCACGTCGTGTTGTCCGGCGTACCGTGTTACCTAGTGTGTCTTTGGGGTCCCTTTTGCCTTTTCCCCTCGAGGCCCTCACCACAAGCATAATGTGTTGTGTTTGTTGTCCCCCTGTTTGTCACGTTCTGTGTCACGGGTGTCTGCATGTATTTGTGCAGGAGCTGCTCTGCCCTGCCCTGCCGCATAGCCTGCTGCAACAGGACAAGTCCCAGGGACTTGCAGTTTTGGGACATTGCCAGACTCTAGTTGATATTCCTAGATAGACAGGAGATGTTTGGAGCTGTGAAGTTATCCTGCAGCCCTTTGACTTTTGTCCTTGCTTTCTTTCAGATGCAGAGGGATAAAATCCAGGGCAAAATCCATCCATCCATCCCGAGTGAGGAGGTTCCCCCGAGCAGGTCAGTCACCGTTTGTCTCTGCAGGGGGAGTGTAAAGTGTGACTCTGTTACAGCACTGTTCTTTTTCTTTTTAGGAGGTAAAGCTGGATATCAGCAGTCAAGGTGAGGTGGGCAAGGTGAGCATTGAGTAGCGTCCAGAAGCAGTTGTTATTGCTCCAGTCTCACTTTGCGGTGCGGCTCTAAGCATCTGTTCCTGTTTCTGTGCTTTAGGCAATCCACTCGGAGTACACCGAGCCCCCGTCACCAACCGGCCGATGCACCGGGTGTGCTGCTCTCCTGAGACCTGCGGAAGAATCACGGGACTCAGTGATGAAGCTGAGCATTCTTAGGAGCATGGTGAGTAGCAGACTTGTGGGGTTTTGGCCAAGGGGCTGCCGAGATCAGGCACTGATGTTTGGTTTTCTTTAATACAGCTGTGTGAGAGACACCAGCCCGGTGCCAGCAGGAGCTTCCCGGCTGACGAGGTGGCCTTTCTTCGCACCCGAGACCGGCATCCCCAGCTGTGCGAGAGATAAGTAGAGGGCCACGGCCCACAGAGGGGATGAAAGCAGGGTGCTGGTTTGGGAATTACTGGGAGGGGTTTTTGAGTCCCCTTTGGAGGTGGGGGTGTTCATGAAGCGGCCCCTTAGGCCCCATAAAAGCAAAGCGTGACTTTGGATCACAGTGCTGAGGTGCACAGGGCAGAGCAGTCCCGGTGTGTAGCGTGTCACTTGTCTTTTGTGTATTATGTGTTGTTTGCATATGTCATGTCTTTTACCTTAGGCCTTGGAGGGGCCTGTCAGAAACCCTGGCATCATTGTTAGCATCTGTGATCTCTGCATTCCTCGGCTGGCACCAATGCCATAGAACTTTGGACTCGGGAGCTCAGACAGGCATCAGACTCTCTTGTCTCTTTAGAAGCATCCGGTCAGGTGTCTTTTCAGGTCTTGTTCTGAGCTGTATGGGCAGCTCTGCCCCGCCAGGATCCATTATGGCGGACTAGGACTTGAAAGAACGTGAGGGCAGGTAGAGGCTGCTGGCCGTAGGATTCTCAGGCATCCATCTTTGCAGTTCTTGGAATAAATCATTCAGTTAGCATCTTCTTCCTCCAGGTTTCTCTGAGCCTCATCAGCTCACCATCGGTCTCCCCTCGGTCATCTCCTTTTGCATTCTCTCAGTCCTCGCAGCCATTTTCCTTGCCAGGAGCTTTCTGTCCATGTTGTGTGCCCGTTGTCTGTCACGTCCTGTCCTGTGTCACAGGTGTGTGCACACACATTTGTGCCGGAGCTGCTCTGCCCTGCCCCATAGCCTGGTGCAATAGGAGAAGTCCCGGGGACTTGGAGTTTGTAATGTGGGGTGTAGTTGGACTCTAGGTGGGATTTGTAGATGGACACAGGATATCTGGAGCTCTTAAGTTATCCTGCAACAGCTTGACTCTTGTCCTGACTTTGTTTTCAGATTCAGATGGATTAAATGTGTGCCAGAGGGCCCCATCCCGGGTGAGTGGTTTCCCCCAAGCAGGTGAGGCACCATTTGTCTGTGCAGCAGAAGTGTATGCGGTGACTCTGTTACAGCTCTGTTCTTTGTCTTTCTTTTTAGGAAGTAAATCTGGATACCAGCAGTCAAGGTGAGCAGTGGAGAGAAGTAGTTGTTATTGCTCCAGTCTCAGTTTCCGGTGCTGCTCTAAGCTTCCATTCTCTTTTTTGTGGTCTAGGCAATCCACTCGGAGCCTGCCAAGCCCCCGTCACCAGCCGGCCGATGCACCGGGTTCCCTGCACGTGTGAGCCCTGTGGATGCGTTACAGGACCTGGTGATGAGACCCTGAACTCTTCCTTTTAAAGGTGCCCTCCGGGTGGCCTTGGGCACCTGCCAAGGAGTTGCGGTGAGTCGGGGAAGTAGGGAGGAGGAGCGAGGGTCCCCTCAGGTTTCAGCCATGCCAGATCACCTCACCTCCTCTTACCCCAGGCACCCCCCGTGACGACGGCCTCGGTCTCCGAGCGTGCCTAAAGCGTGCGGCCCGAGCAGCCGAGCGTTCTTAGGAGCAGGGTGAGTAGCAGACTTGTGGGGTTTTGGCCGATGGGCTGCCAAGATCAGGCACTGATGTTTGGTTTTCTTTAATACAGCTGTCTAAGAGACACCAGCCCGGTGCCAGCAGGACCTTCCCAGCCGGCGAGGTGGCCTTTCTTCACACCTGAGACGGCATCCCCAGCTGTGCGAGAGATAAGTAGAGGGCCACGACCCACAGAGGGGATGAAAGCAGGGGGCTGGTTTGGGAATTACTGGGAGGGGTTTTTGAGTCCCCTTTGGAGGTGGGGGGGGTGTCCATGAAGCGGCCCCTTAGGCCCCATAAAAGCAAAGCGTGACTTTGGATCACAGTGCTGAGGTGCGCAGGGCAGAGCAGTCCCGGTGTGTATCGTGTCACTTGTCTTTTGTGTATTATGTGTTGTTTTGATATGTCATGTTCTTTACCTTAGGCCTTTGTGGGGCCTGTCAGAAACCCTGGCATTATTGTTAGCATCTGTGATCTCTGCATTCCTCGGCCTGGCACCCAGGCCATAGAACTTTCTCCTCAGGAGCTCAGGCATCAGACTCTCTTGTCTCTTTAGAAGCATCCGGTCAGATGTCTTTTCAGGTCTTGTTCTGAGCTGTATGGACAACTGCAGCCTGGAAGGTTCTATTATGGTGGACTAGGACTTGTAAGAATGTGAGGACATGTAGAGCATTCTGACTGTAGGCCTCCTGCGCATTCATCTTTGCAGTTTTTGGACTAAATCATTCAGTTTAGCGTCTTCTTTCTCCAGGGTTTCTTTCTCTGAGCCTCATCAGCTCGCCATCGGTCTTACCTCAGTCGTCTAATTTTGTGTCCTTGTGCTCCTTGCAGTAATGCTTCTTGTCTCAAGATTTCTGTCTGTGTCTTGTGTACATTGTTTGTCACGTCCTGTCTGTCCTGTGTCACGGGTGTCTGCACACATTTGTGCCGGAGCTGCTCTGCCCTGCCGCATAGCCTGGTGCAATAGGAGAAGTCCCGGGGACTTGAAGTTTGTAATGTGGGGTGTAGTTGGCCTCTAGGTGCGATGTGTAGATGCACACAAGATATCTGGAGCTCTTAAGTTATCCTGCAGCCCTTTGACTTTTGTCCTAACTTTCTTTCAGATGCAGAAGGATAAAATCCAAGGCAGAGCCCCCCATCCCAGGTGAGGGGATTGCCCCAAGCAGGTCAGTCACCATTTGTCTCTGCAGAGGAAGCATAAATGGTGGCCGTTACAGCATTATTCTTTGTCTCTCTTTTTAGGAGGTCAAGGCCGAGAGCAGCAGTCAAGGCTGAGTGGGCAAGGTGAGCATTGAGTAGTGTACAGAAGCAGTACGTTGCTGATGTCTCAGTTTCTGGTGCAGCTCTAAGCATCTCCTCTTGTTTTTTTTTATTGTAGGTGGTCCACTTGCCATCTATCCTGGCTGAGCATGCCCATGCCAGGTGGGTGAGAGCTTAAGGTATCAGTGTGGCATCCTTGTCTGATTTGGGAGGTTGCGTTTTCACAGTATCTCAGCATGCTTTTCTGCTTTGTTTCATTGCAGGTGCTGTCGCTGCCCTAGGCCCGCCAAGCAACAGAGGAGGGCAGGTGAGTCGTAGTTTAGGCAGGCTGACCCATAGGTGAGCGTTACACCGCAGCATGCTAAGCGTGTCCCTTTTGTTTTGCAGGTATGTTCCGGGCAGCCTCCGGAGTCAAATCAAGATTTGAGGTGAGCCAGGGCAGTTGTGCGGAGGAGTCCCGGGGATTACTGTTTTTGAGGGCAATAGTCAGGTTTTCTGTTTTGTCTTAGGTTCCCTGAGGAGGCTCGTAGCCAAAGCTTGGAAACGGCAGCACCGAAGCACACACGGAGAGCATCTCCACGACCCTAACCCACGTCCACGTCCGACCGAGGATGGATTTTGTCCGCTCCTCTTCCAAAAGCTAAGTGTCGGGGCCAGCGGTTGGGAGCAGGGGAAAAGCCTTTACTCTCACAGGAGGCAATCAGATGTCAGCTTAGGGGACAGGTCTGTAGCAGGGCGGGCTCTCTGGAAGTAAAGGGAGAGGGTTTCCCCTCAGCCTCGCCTGAGCCTTTGCCGGGCAGGGCAGTTCCGACCCATCTTCACATTTTCGCGTACTTTACGTCGTCCGCCTCCCCCGACTCGACGTCGTCACGGATCTTTCCCCCGAGGAGCTCGCCTTCAGGTCCGGAGCTACGGCCACGGTCACCCGGCAGTCGGCTTCCTTCTCTAGGCTCGCCGACCCTCTCGAGCATTCTCTTAACTACTTCGGCACTAACTTCTTTTGAGGAGTTCCATTTCATCATCACGTGCTCTCGTCATAGGGCTTTCTCTCCTTTGGCATCATCAGCCTCTGGCTCATCTTGCACTAGGAATCTCAGGTCCCTAAGGGGACAGTGCCAGGCAGTTGCCACTCATCTCTGTGTTATGTCTTCTGTGTCTATGTTATGTTGTCTGTGTCTGTGTTATGTAGTCTGTGTCCATCGTCTTATGTGTCACAGGCCTTTGTTATGTCTCGACGCTTTATCGGCACTATTCTGTGCCACGTAGGCCATATTGTACTCACGTTCCTTTCCGGATATCCCTTATTCCGGCATCTTTACATTTTTACTCTTTGAAACAGGAATGTCTTAAAGGGACAAGATGTTGTCATCCGTCTTCCTTCTCACTACCGGCTTTGGTAGTGCCTTTTTTTCCACGCCATTGTCTTGGACTTCCTGAGGGAGCGTCTTACACCCTCCTCACGTGACTGCAGGAGTTTGATAGGTTCCATCTTCCCAAGGGGTGTAGGGCTCAAGAATTAATCTTCCAGAGAGCTATCTCAAGTCCTGGCTTACATTGCATGTACCTATGTTGGCTTATACTGTATGTACTTATATTCTGTGTACCTACGCTGGCTTATACTGTATGTACTTACACTGCGTGTACCTGTGTTGGCTTATACTGTATGTAGTTATATTGTGTGTGCCTATGCTGGTTTATACTGTATGTACTTATACTGTATGTGCTTACACTGTGCGTACCTGTGTTGGCTTACACTGTATGTACTTACACTGTGTGTACCTATGCCGGCTTATACTGTATGTACTTAATCTTTATGTACCTATGCTGGATTATACTGTATGTACTTACATTGTGTGTACCTTTGTTGGCTTATACTGTATGTACTTACACTGTACCACTTATGGTCGGAGCTGCCCTGCCCTGGCACGTAGTCACAGTTAGGTAGAAGAGTTATAAAAACTTTACTGTTCATCTGTCTTTAATGAGGTTTTGGGTAGAATATTTATCAGTCACAGCGGGGACAAGTCCTAGCTGTCAGATAGCCACTCATCGACCGCTTCCTGTCGTCTCACAGGTCCCCGAGGCTACCGATTTCCCCAGAATCTACCATTTGACATCGAGGAGCGGCAGCATCCGAAGCACGTTCTTCAGCGTCTCGAGTAAGAGCCACACCAAGCACGTAAGCGGGAAGAGCGGGAGCGACAGCACGTGTCTGTCTGAGTCCGCTCGTCTCTGAGCGTGTGAGCGCATACTGATGGGATTTAACCTTGTGTGTGTGACTTTTGCCTTTCAGGTTTTTCAACTCATTTTTAAATTTAGAATAAAAAATCCCCAGCCGGGGGTTTTTTTTTTTTTTTCCCCCCGGCTGGGTTTTTTTTTTCCCGGGTCCCGGTCGGTCAGCGAGGCGAGGTTCATCGCCAAAGTTTGGGCGCGGACCGTCCAGGGACCGGGGTTTTCGTCAGGCAGGAGGATTTTTTGGGGGCTCCCGGGAACCACGTTCCCGAGGAGGGGCGTGAGCGCGTGCCGGGGGTTAGCAGAGCGGTCGAGGTCCGATTTAGTGTGGGTTTGTGTGTAAGCTGAAGGCAGTGTGTGTGTGTTGAAGGGTTGTAGGGTTGTAACCTTGTGTGACTTTTGCCTTTCAGGTTTTTCAACTCATTTTTAAATTTAGAATAAAAAATCCCCAGCCGGGGGGTTTTTTTTTTTTTCCCCCCGGCTGGGTTTTTTTTTCCCGGGTCCCGGTCGGTCAGCGAGGCGAGGTTCATCGCCAAAGTTTGGGCGCGGACCGTCCAGGGACCGGGGTTTTCGTAAGGCAGGAGGATTTTTTGGGGGCTCCCGGGAACCACGTTCCCGAGGAGGGGCGTGAGCGCGTGCCGGGGGTTAGCAGAGCGGTCGAGGTCCGATTTAGTGTGGGTTTGTGTGTAAGCTGAAGGCAGTGTGTGTGTGTTGAAGGGTTGTAGGGTTGTAACCTTGTGTGACTTTTGCCTTTCAGGTTTTTCAACTCATTTTTAAATTTAGAATAAAAAATCCCCAGCTGGGGGGTTTTTTTTTTTTCCCCCCGGCTGGGTTTTTTTTTCCCGGGTCCCGGTCGGTCAGCGAGGCGAGGTTCATCGCCAAAGTTTGGGCGCGGACCGTCCAGGGACCGGGGTTTTCGTCAGGCAGGAGGATTTTTTGGGGGCTCCCGGGAACCACGTTCCCGAGGAGGGGCGTGAGCGCGTGCCGGGGGTTAGCAGAGCGGTCGAGGTCCGATTTAGTGTGGGTTTGTGTGTAAGCTGAAGGCAGTGTGTGTGTGTTGAAGGGTTGTAGGGTTGTAACCTTGTGTGACTTTTGCCTTTCAGGTTTTTCAACTCATTTTTAAATTTAGAATAAAAAATCCCCAGCCGGGGGTTTTTTTTTTTTCCCCCCGGCTGGGTTTTTTTTTCCCGGGTCCCGGTCGGTCAGCGAGGCGAGGTTCATCGCCAAAGTTTGGGCGCGGACCGTCCAGGGACCGGGGTTTTCGTCAGGCAGGAGGATTTTTTTGGGGGCTCCTGGGAACCACGTTCCTGAGGAGCAATGATTACTGGGGTGTAATTTAGCAGTTGTGATGAGAGGGATGGTGAGTTTGTGTGTCATGTGAAGGGGGTGTTAATGGTAGATGAGTGCTGCTTTCTGTGGGTTTTGTTGCTTTGGGTGTCCTGTAACGATAAATCAACCTGTAATGAAAATAGAACAAGGTTATCATCTTGTGTTAGTATGTGTTGTATTGCTCTGTATTGCTCTGTATTGCATTTGTATTAACTGCTGCCATTTTGCTGTATTGCTCTATGTGTAAATTAGATTTTTACCAGTGTGTCTATGGATTGTATCTGCACTTGCATTTGTATACACTGTTTCCATGTATTTTGCTGATGCATAAATAAAAACATTCTTTTAATAAAGTTGAGTCACCCCTAATAAAGATACCCCCTGCCCTTCAGTACCCCCACTGTGGCTCCTGTCTTATTTTGGTGTGGTTTTGTCATTTCTTTCCACTCTATTTCTTCCTTTTGCTCCTCACTTTAGTCTTCTATTTGTAACTTAACTTCCATCTATCTCTAACCCTTTGTTTCTGTTGCCTTTATAACTGTCAATGTCAGTCTTCTCGCTTCATTTTCTCTCTGTGTTCTCCTTTTCCTCGGTCTTTTTTGCTCTTAGTCTTTTCCTTTTTCTCCCCACTCCTAAGTTTTACTTTCACTCTAATCCTAACTGCTTTCTTTTCCTTCTAACACCTGTCCTTCTTCAGTTCTCCCACCCTCCTTTTCCTGTCTCACTCTTGTCTTCCTGTTTTATTTTCTTCTCTGTCTTCTTGTCTCTCCTCTGTCTTTTCTCTCTGTCTCTTCTCCCTGTCTGTCTCTGTCCTCTGCATTTCTGTTCTTTCTCTTTGTCCCTGTTCTCTCCTCTTCTCTCTCTGTCTCTCCCTCTATTCTGTCCTAACTCCTTTCTCCCTCTCTTTTCTCTCTTTGCTTCTCTCTCTGCTCCTCTCTTTTCTCTTTGTTTCTCTCTTTTCTCTCTCTGCTCCTCTCTTTTCTCTTTGTTTCTCTCTCTTTTCTCTTTGCTCCTCTCTTTTCTCTCTTTGCTTCTCTCTCTGCTCCTCTCTCTTCTCTCTTTGCTTCTCTTTCTTCTTTCTTTGCGTCTCTCTCTTCTCTCTTTGCTTCTCTTTCTTCTTTCTTTGTGTGTCTCTCTCTCTCCCTCTCTCTCTTCTTTCTTTGCTTCTCTCTCCCTCTCTCTCTTCTTTCTTTGCTCCTCTCTCTCTCTTCTTTCTTTGCTTCTCTCTCCCTCTCTCTCTTCTTTCTTTGCTCCTCTCTCTCTCTTCTTTCTTTGCTTCTCTCTCTCTCTCCTTTCTTTGCTTCTCTCTCTCTCTCTTCTTTCTTTGCTTCTCTCTCTCTCTCTCTCTCTCTCTCTCTCTCCTTCTCTTTCTAACTTTGTTTTCCCTTCTAGCTTTAGTTTAAAAAAGCAGCAGTAGGAAATTTCAGGCTCCCGGGGAGTAAAACAAAAAAATTAAAATAATTTAAAAAAACAAACCATTTACTCCCCGGGAGCCTGAAATTTCCTACTGCTGCACCGGACATATAGTTTTTCTTCTTTTTACTATATACAGTATATAGGGACCCCTCCCACCCCAGGTGCCAGCAATCAGTAGCCACCAGCCAAACCCCACCCCTGGACACACCCCCAGACATGCACACCCCACCCCCGTGTCCACGCCCCCTCGCCAGACCCACCCCCTGCCAGCCAGCACCCCGCCCCATGCCACTCACATATAGATCATGCAGTCACAGCACCACCTGCCGTTTACTCCCGAGTACTGCACTCACAGCGCCACCTGCCGTCTGCAACCGGGTACTACATGCACAGCGCCCCCTGCTGCTTGCCGGCCGGTACTGCATGCACAGCGCCACCTGCTGCTTGCCGGCCGTTACTGCATGCACAGCGCCCCCTGCCGTTTGCCGGCCGTTACTGCATGCACAGCGCCCCCTGCCGCCCGCAACCCGGTACTACAAGCACAGCGCCCCCTGCCGTCCACATACCGATACTGCATGCACAGCGCCCCCTGCCGCTTACTCCGCAGTACTGCACCCGCGGCACGCACCCGATGACGTCACCGGCGCGACACGCCCCAAAAAGGACCCCACTGCACAGGCGTCCCCCCCAATCGCCCGATCGAAACGGCACCACCCACCCCGCGCCCCCCAGACCCCCGCGCGCGCCGCCGCCGGCCCCACGCGAACCGGAATGCCATTCCAACCCCGCGCGACCCACAAAAACCACGCAAAACCCGCCCAAAACCCCCAAAAAAATCCCGGTCCCGGCGGCCGCCATTTTGCCATCAATGACGTCACCCGGCCCGCCGCCATATTGTCCCGCGTACCACGTGACCCCCCCCTCGCGGCCGCCATCTTGCCCCCCCCGCACCACGTGACCCCCGCGGCCGCCATTTTGTTGCCGTAAATGACGTCACCGGCCGCCATCTTGGCTGCCGTACCACGTGACCCTCTGGGCGCCGCCATGTTGTACGACACCACGTGACCGTATGGGCGCCGCCATCTTGATGACATCATGGGGGCCGCCATCTTGATCCCCATCATGTGACCGCATGGGGGCAGCCATCTTGGTTCCCGGATCACATGACCCCCTGGGCGCCGCCATATTGGATCCCCGACCACGTGACCGTATGGGCGCCGCCATCTTGATACGTCATCACGACGTCACGGCGGCCGCCATCTTGGTCCCCGATCACGTGACCCCGTGGGCGCCGCCATGTTGTACGACACCACGTGGCTCGATGGGCGCCGCCATCTTGATGACATCACAGGGTCCGCCATCTTGGGTCCCCGATCACGTGACCGGCTGCCCGCCGCCATCTTGTTGCCGTAAATGACGTAACCCCCCGCGGCCGCCATATTGCCGTAAATGACGTCAGCGTCCGCCATCTTGCC